GGTTCTCCGCCTGCAACACGTCGAACTTGAGTACAATCCCCTCAATCTGAGCCTCAATAGCTTCGTTACTAAGCTCGAACGCACCCTCCACCACCCTCACAACTCGCCACAGGCTCACCACCACGAGCAACCCCGCACCTTTTCCCTCCGCCACCACTTCCAACACCAGAGCCCCAGCCATCACTATCCCATCGATAACGTGGCCTGGGCTGGTAAAGAAAGAGGTTCCAAGAGCTATAGCAAGGGCCATTACTTTTGCGAATAAAACACCAAGTATGGCGATTCCCGCCCAGCGGTACATCTTGCTTTGCTCTCTTCTGTCGCTCGAGCCGGTGCAGGAGAGTAACGTAGAGGAGATGTCGAGCACAGTGAGAATGAGATCGAGGAGGATGAGAACCATTGTTGCGAGATGGATGGGCAAGGAGTCAATAAGTTCGGCCAGGCGAATTCTCCATGAAGATCTGGTTGAAGTGGCATTCTGGTAATTACCGACATATCGTGGTCCTAGGAAGCATGAATACAGTAGCAAGAATCGTTTCTTTCTTTCCCAGTTGCTGACAAGATTTTGGATGGAGGATTCGAGTGCTTCTATTGTAGTTGGTGGAGGAGGAGGAGGAGCCATTGGAAGTTGAATTGGTTTTAAGTTTTTGGGCAATTAGTTGCGGTTGGGTTTAAGTAGTTGGAAGAGTGAAGCAAAGTGCACGTTATAAAGTGCTGTTGCCTTCTAAGTTATGTTGCGAAAATGAGCCATGATCTAAGTATCTTCGATATTCATGTGACCTGACCCTGTCGTATGCTGTACACGTAAGTTTAGGTTCATTAGTAAGTTTCCAACAAATATGTTAATTTAGTACAAAATTATAACCCTTCACCGTCTCACCACAGCTTCGCAGTTTTAACGTAATCTGAATCGATACATCTTGATACGCAAATGTTTCAATGTTTTATGATGATCGAAAACATTATCTTCCTGTTTGAGGGTATAGCTCCCAATAAAAACACCCCACATATATATACTCAATTTTGCTGAGAACATAGATCTCTATATTATATATTCATATATGATTCAATTTCCAGCACAAGCTTAACTTAATCGAATCAAAAGCATAAACTATGGTTGCACTGGTTTAGCACCATTGGCGTGCTTGATTACATCGGTATCATCCTCTTCATCCATATACCTCTTCCAGAACCAATGCTGCTTCCACACCCTCTCAGTCATCTCCTCAATGGGCACATTCTTCGTCTCGGGCAACAAAAACAGCACGAACAGCGACATCACCAGAACCCAAGCCGAGAAGAACGCAAAGATCGCAAACTTGAGATGACAAAGCATCGACAGAAAAGCCTGAGCGATGACGAAGGTGAAGAGCAAGTTGACGCAAACGGTCACACTCTGCCCAGCCGAGCGCGTCTCCAAAGGAAACGTCTCGCTGGGGATGAGCCATCCGAGCGGGCCCCACGACCAGGCGAAGGATGAAACAAAAGTGCAGATCATCACCACTATAAGAATCGCGTACCCTTTGCTGAGATCTTTTGAATGGTCGGTGACTTTTATCCCGAGGATGATCGCTATGATGACCTGAGAAAGGAACATCTGGACTCCGGCTTCTAGGAGGAGGACACGGCGTCCTACCTTGTCGACTGAATAGATTGATACAACGGTCGAGACTACGTTGACTGCTCCGGTGATGACAGCTGAATATAAGGACGCGTCGCTCTTGAACCCCAGCGTGTTGAAGAGTACCGGGGCGTAGAACATGATGGCATTGATGCCGGTGAATTGTTGGAATATCTGAAACACGACTAATCGTTCAGCAATGGTACGCGTCTATATATCAACCAATCTCATTATGTAATTGTATCTTGCAATCTGTTATGTGAACCAATAATAAATTTGTAGGATTTCTCCAGAGCCAGGGATGAGAGGGACGTGAACGATACCTGTAGCATAACGGCAATGACGAGTTGGGGACGGTTGCGACGCTTGAGGAGGTTGCGGAACGGGTGCTTGACCTGCTGAGCGATCTGACTGGCCTCGACGATCTCATTAAACTCAGCGTCGACGTTGTTGGTTCCTCGGATTTTCTTGAGCACAGCCTTTCCTTCGTCAAGGTGCCCCCGCTCGATGAGACTGTTGGGGGTGTCGGTAACGAGCAACGATCCGACAGTGAGAAGGATTGCTGGGATTCCGGCAAGGGCAAGAGAGAGCCTCCATCCCCATGGGTGAAGTCTGAATCAAGAGCATAAAAAATATTATTATTATTATAATTAAATGCATAATTAATCATGATAATAACTAAACATATATATATATTCATGTGTTATACTTGGCAGTTCCATAGTTGATGAGGTTGGCGAACAGGATGCCAATGGTGACGTTGAGCTGGAACAAGATGTTGAGTCCCCCTCGGATTCTGGTGGGTGCAATCTCAGAGAGGAACAAGGGAACAGCCTATAATTAAGCCACAGCATTAATATATTAGATCTTGTTAACAGACAGAGATTCAATAGTAGAGAAAACAAGATAAATTCTCAGATAATTTCCGTATAAGATGATCATCCTAAGACGAATTTCTAGGCACAGAAGTCAGCGGCGGATATTTTCGTCTGCAATGCCCAGTTCTCTACTAGTGATTTTATACCGAGAGGTAAACAAAACAAGAGGAGCAAAAAATTATACTTCGCCACCAAAATGTGTGATCCCAAATTCCACAAGCTGGTTGAATCGTAAATAGTCGTTGTTACCCCGATCCGTTAATGATCAAAAAATACGTCAATAGATGAAAACTAGAGATACACTCTCGAAGTTAACTTTATATCCATTTTACAATCGTTTTCACGTGAGAGTAATTTCAGAAGAAAAAAGGGAGAAAGGGGAAAAAAAAAAAAAGCTTGACCCTTTCAAAAAAATTATCATGCTTTACCCACGCCAAGTTGAATTTGTAGGTAATGCTTCATTTATTGCTTAGGACATGGACAAATCAAAAGTTAGCTTAACGGATAGGCTTTTTTTTTTTTTTTTTGTGATACGTCATGGGAAAAGTGTGATATGTTATCACAAAATAATAAAGCACCTTGTTGTAAAACTTTCTACCACAATTGTATTCAAGTCCCTCCCAAGACTCGCGGGTTTGGATAATGCTTTTCTCTAATGACAACTACAACTACTAATTAAAAACTTCATGAAAAGCTAGTCAAAGTCAAAGATACGCATAGAAGCTGCTGCGATATTCTTTGGTTTTTTTTTCTCCCATCTTTACTGTTTTTATTTGATTTTCGGCATCTTCTCTTTGACTGTCACTGTATCTGCACGAGTGCGCACGTAGGCCATGCGCATGATGCAGTTCGCAAATTAATTTCATTTCCCTTTTCTAACTCAATAGTCAATCTTGTAGGCCCCTAGATGACGAGGGAAGAAGAAATGTACGTACGAGTGCAAAACTATCTTAAACTAAATCTTGAATAATTTTAGCGCAATTTAACCACATACGTACATCATACGAATGCCTCGATTAACGTTTTTTACAATTTTTCATGTGTCACGTTTTAGTGTGATTTAACCACATGTATACATCATAATTCTAGTGTGTAACTTCACGTCTTTTTCAAAATGGACAAGTGAGACCCATGCTACATTTATATCTTAGAAATACTTGGCCGTGGTGAATTTACCAAGAACAAAAGTTATCCAAATCTAACTAGTTGAAAAGCAGCATTAACTGCAGATAAAGGTAGAAGAAATAAGCAAGATGTGTGCGTATGCAAATGGTATCCTCTAAAGTTGCTTTACTTAAAAAAAAACACCATATATATGTACATATATAATGGTGACCAATTCAAAGGGGGAATCACTTCATTTTCATACCATACTCCCACTCAAAATAATACCCATGTATTGATAGACAGACATTAGTAATATGTGTATTAAAAGCTAATTAAGTCGGATGGTATTATTTTCTTGTTTCTTTTTTACACGGTATCCCACAAGGAGCCTTCTATAACATGCATCGTTTCCTAATCATTAATGTCTCAAGGACCCAAATAGGGGACCCAATGCATGGGACATGTGAGATGTTACCATCCGGTTGCATGATGCATCATTCATGAATAGTGCATCATGCAACCGGATGGTGATACCTCACCTATCTCATGCCTTGGGTCCCCTATTTGGGTTCCTGTAGCAACACCCAAAACAATACCTGATTAGCGAACCCAACACCGCAACCAAGCAGGATTCGGCCAACAATGAGCATGGCGAGGTCCTGAGCAGCGCCGTTGAAGATGACTCCGAGGAGGAAGAAGGCACCGGCGATGAGCATGGTGAGCTTCCGCCCGAGTCGGCGGGTGGTGTACGAGGCGAAGAAGGTGGAGGTGAGGCCGGCGAGGTAGAGCGACGACGTGAACAGCTGAAGGCCTTGGTTGTCGTACTTGCAGTAGTTGCTGTCTAGCGCTGGCTCGTGTTTCCGGCGGTACACTTTAGGGAAGAACTTGAGCAAGAAATCATCCATTGATGTTACTCCACCTGTTTAATTATTATAATTATAATTAATATTAAGAATTGCATGTTGAATTAATATTATATTATAACTTTGCATGCATCAATCGAGTAAGTAGAATTTAACTGTCAAAGAAAATTTGTAAAATATTTACATCATAGACGGTGAATAGTAAAACATACATAATACTAAATAATATATAGTTTTCCTTATCTATCAGTTTATTGACAGACGTTGACTGTTATGATGCAAGCTGTATGATTTCTTTTCATGGTTGGAGAAAAATGTATATATGGCTTAAAAATAGTATACCTGAGNTATATATATACACACTCTCTCTCCTGTTAAACACGCTACAAAGACATGCATGTGCATTTTTGACTCTTTGGACTGTTATCTAGATTTTATATTCTTTAAGTATGATGATCAGAATCTGATGTTATCAGCAAAGCTTTAAATTAATATATCTCTTGTAGGCTAAAAATTCAATGCAAACAGGGGAAAAGATAAAAAAACCGGATGCTTGTGATTCGAACTTTCCTTTAATTTGTTATGGCTTATGAACACTCATCGTGTATTTGGTATCTTCCTCCAGCAAGGTTAAATATAATTACAGTTATACCCTTGATGATTACATCTAACTGCATTTTCTCCTCATCATAGTAAATCATAAAAGTTTTGCAACATGATACCTATATAAGCTGTTCACAGTGGCGGATCTACAGCCTTAACGGCGCTGGTTCAAAATATTCCCAAACACTATCACCTTATGAAAAAAATTCTACTAAATCCTGTAAAAAGACAATCTGCAGCTAACTTTAAAGACAAAATGATACTCTTTCATATTGATAAATAATATTGCAAGTTTGCAACAAAACAAGCAGTAGCTAGTTTTAAAGACAAATGCTACTCCATATTGATAAACATCAGTAGCATACTTTACATTCATCCACTAGTGTAGAGAAGTAACAAAAACTTACAGAAGTAGCTACATACAAGACTAAAGCTCTTACAATTCATATCTTCTTGTACTCATTTTTTTGAAAATACTCTAAAACTTCTCCAGAATCAGGTGGTTCAACTGAACCAGTGTGAACAGGCATGGGTCCGCCACTGGCTGTTCAGCTAAAAAACAATTTAAGGTTAAAATAAGAAAATTTTTAATAATGTCTTCCACCAGATGATTCTTTTTCCATAATGACATGTGTCTAATTAAACTCGATATTTTTTTCATCAAAAATATAAAAATAGCATTCTTGGTGATGACAGACAATAAAAATTTATGTATATTGTCCTGAGCGTAATATATTATATTTTTTGTAAGTTAGTAGGGACTTGGAAAAGTAGTAGCTAAATATTCAAAGATGATCAATCGCCATTAATAATTGATCAGATCTCAACTTGGTAGAGGTATAAGACAGCTGGTATCAAAGCTATATACAATTCTATCCTTATCAAACACTGATTTATTATTTATTTATTTATTTATTTATTTATTTATTGATATGTATCAAATTAACACTGGAATTCTTTGATAGAGAATAATTCTTTAACATTTTTAGTTTTTGTTCTTTTTGTTATAATTTGTTGCTAATTCGATCCTCTAGTTACAAATTTACACTCGATTCAGTCATTTTCTGTTGAACTCAATGTATTTATTTCAAAGATATTTAGTCACTTAAGAGAGTGATTTATGTTTAAAATCACTGCCAAGTCCAAAAAAATAAACCCCATATTCTATAAACTCTTTATGCAATCCTATATAAAATTAATGCCTTTTTTGACTCACTTGAGCTTAATTTACCAAATACTTTGACTATGTCACCTACTCTTGAGTTTACAGATGAGTCCAAAGAAAAAAACACCATCCTATCTTAATCAAAGAATTTCAAATATGACTATTCCACTTTAGAAAAATAATAAAAAAAAGGCTTTAAAGGCCAAAGCATTCCTTTTCATATTATTGCTTACATCCGAAAATATACCCCATCAATTCCAAGAATAACTTTTTTAATGAATTTCACTTTTTGGTTTCTTAGTTTTTTTTTCAACTGTCTAGGTTTCCCTTAATATTTAAATTTTTATATATAAAAAGGTTCTTTGATTAACTTCATTAAGAAAATAAAATTACAAAAATTTTTAATTACCGAAAATAGCAAAACATGACTATTACATCATTCTTGCTGTTAAATTTTCTAAAAGGATATTGTATGAAAATAACCAAGGTAGTTTTTTCAGTTTAATAAATAATAGTGATTTCCTATGAAATACAGGATATACATGAAGGTCTATGGTAAATCCCATTAAAATAATGTCTTTTGGCTTTTATTTTCTTTAAGTTATCACATTTTTATAGGTAAGTTTTATTTGAATATTTAAAAACATGGTTTAATGAAATCATAGAAATGCTTTCTTCTAATTTGGTCTTAAAAAACTAACAAACAATGCACAAAGAAAGTTTAAATTTTCAAAAAGGAACCACCTTTTGTAACTAATTAAAGAAAGTCTAAATTTTCAAAAACGCTCACTATTAGTTTGTTCTAAAAAAAACTAAAAAACAATTAATGCACAAAGAAAGTTTAAATTTTCAAAAATAGGTCGTCTTTTGTAACGAAATTAAGACACATACGTCATCACATTTTTGGTGTTGGAAATGTGATGATTTGCTATGTAACAACCATTTAGTGGTATAGACAGGCTCTGTGTGATGCCCCCATCCTTTTTCCCACCACAAACAAAAACTAAATAAATAAATAAAAGAACAAAAAAAAGAAAATATAAGTTTTGGGAGGAACCCATGACCTCCCACGGAGCAAGGTGGGTCTCAAATAAAACTAAAAAACAAATTAATCCAAATTTTAATTAAATTTGTTAGATATATATTGACTTCAATTTTTCTATGTGACCACCGCGCAAAGTTAAGTGTGACCACCGCGCGTAGCGGCTCCCTTAATTATAATCATCACAGAACCATGTAGAATATGGTTAGTCGTTATAATAATATAATGTTATTCTCTTTTTTTTCTCACTAATATTCAAACTACGATGATTTCAAGAACAACTTACCAAGGAAATTAAAAAAATGCAAAACGTTATAATCATATAATGTTATTCTTATTCCTTCCCTAATTCAAACTAGCTACGATGATTTCAAGAAGTTACCCACAAAAAAAAAACCAAAACAATATTAAGATAATGGTTTAAAAAAAAGGTAGTAATTAATATGGGGAAGAGCAACTCGATCGTTACCTGAAATACCAAGTATCCAACATGAGCCTCCATGGCCGCCATCGATGCAGAAGTAAGGTGAGTCAGCCTAACGGGTTATCTCGCCTCGAAGCTGCTGGGCCGCGGGCCGGAGCCCCCGACACCGGCAAAACCCCGGCAGCCATCTAAAATTAGTTCTCCTACGGAAACCTAATATTAGGGAGTATCCCTGCCTACTCGAGCTTGGTGTTTGATTCCTTATATAGAACTGAGAGGGTGCTCGTTAACACCTCTAGATGAGAAGCAGGGCCATTCTAGCATTGAGAGGTGGTGGCGGGGGGGGGGGGGGGTGGCGTGGGGTGGGGGGTGGGAGGAATCTGTATAGGTGTGCTGTCCTATAGAGAATGCATATGGGTGTGGGTTGCGTAGCGGATGAGCCGAGCGCACGTGGTCTAATACAAATCTTGATGTCATTATCAGTTATATCAGTATATTAAAAACTATGAGAAGTTTTTGTAAAAAACCCTTCTTAAAAAATAATTAGCAAAACCGATCTTTTTTTTGCTAGCTTACCAAGGCTGACAAAAAAGAGATCGATTTTGTAAAATTTAGTGTTGAAAACACACAGGACTAGTAGTCCCGCGTGTTTAGCGCTTGCTAATCGACCCCTAAATACAGCGTAGAAAACACACGGGACAAGTAGTTCCACGAGTTTTTTGCGCAGTATCAAATAATACACAGGTGTTTTCTGAAAGATCTCAGAAATCATGAATATGTTGCAAAATCTCCTTGGTAACCCCGACCTTGGAAATGCTCTCTCTCTCTCTCTCTCTCTCTCTCTCTCTCTCTCTCTCCTGAACCTCCTAATCTCCTCATCCTCAATCGTCATCTCTGCCGAAGACGGCGCCTTTACTCTCTTCGATCCTCTTTCCCGTCTCCTTCTCACGGGTGTCGGTGAACTGCTCCTCCCTCTCCCACGACAGCGGAACCAACACTAGCAATTGATCCGGCCGGTTCCAGCTCCATTCCACAATTCCCTCGATCTCCAGTTTCCATTCAAAGGATTTTGCTAGTTCAATTCCTCCTCTTCCTCGGACCCTAACTCTAGGGTTCGTAGCCTGTGGACGATGCGCCCCTTTGTCCGGTCAAGGGCTTGGGCTTCTCCTGAGCTGGTGAGGAGGGGCATGGATGTGGGTCCCATTGACTGAGCCAAGGGGTGGATGGGGTTTTTGGGCTGTGGGAGGTCTAGGGTTAGGGTTAGGGTTTTGGTTGACGATGCGAGCAGAGGAGGGGAAGGGGGAGGATGAGGGGGAGAGGAGGCGGGAGAGGAGGCGAGAGTAGAGAGGGATGAAGTGCTTGTGAAAGGGGTACTCTATGAATTTGGTCGTCTAAGCAAACACTAAACATACGGGACTAGTAGTCTCATATGTTTTTAGCCCAATTCCCCTAATATCTCATTTATTTTAGCCCAATTCTCCTAATATCTCATTTCCATTCAAAGGATTTTGCTGGTTCAATTCCTCCTCTTCCTCGAACCCTAACTCTAGGGTTCGTAGCCTTTGGATGATGTGCCCCTTTGTCAGGTGAAGGGCTTGGGCTTCTCCTAAGCTGGTGAGGAGGGGCATGAAAGTGGGTCACATTGACTGAGCCAAGGGGTGGATAGGGGTTTTGGGCTGTGGGAGGTCTAGGGTTAGGGTTAGGGTTTTGGTTGTCGATGCGAGCAGAGGAGGGGGAGGGGGAGGATGAGGGGGGAGAGGAGGCGAGAGCGGAGGCGGGAGTAGAGAGGGATGAAGTGCTTGTGAAAGGGGAACTCTGTG